ATAGACTATTATTTCCATCACAATGTGAAGGAAGACTGAACTACCGTTCACAGACTATTACTTCAATCACAAAGTGGAGAAAGATTGAACTACCGTTCACAGACGATAACTTCAATCACAAAGTGAAGAAAGACTGAACTACCGTTCACAGACGATAACTTCTATCACAAAGAGAAGAAAGACTGAACTACCGTTCACAGACGATAACTTCTATCACAAAGTGAAGAAAGACTGAACTACCGTTCACAGACTATTATTTCCATCACAAAGTGAAGGAAGGCTGAACTACCGTTCACAGACTATTATTTCCATCACAAAGTGAAGGAAGACTGAACTACCGTTCACAGACTATTATTTCCATCACAAAGTGAAGGAAGACTGAACGTTTTTCACGAATTTCTCGATGAAACACTACAAGTCTCCTTTCGTTAAAAAGGCCTTTATCTGAAGAGTCTGGATTGCATATTAGGTTTTCCATTCAGAATTCCATGACCTGTTTTTTGCTTAATCAAACTTTTTAATGCAATGAGTATGCTACACGATGGCACAATATCACTGTCATCACGTGAAAACAGGTTTAAATTTAAACTTTAGTTTTATACTTGCAAAATATTTCACTTAAACTGCATGTAATTTCCTTAAAAATGAACATTGCACTAAATACAATTGTTATCGGTTTTCTCGACTTTAGGTCTAAAATATGTATGTGCACTTCGTTCAAAACCATATGCTTATCTTATCACTTTGTGAACACGAACTCAGACATTCTTGTATATTTAACTAAGTTTGCCTTCATTACAATTTTACATTTAGCTTTGGTTCATTTCATAGACTGCTATAAACAACTTTTAGTTACTTTTTTGTGTTATTAAATAAAGTTACATCTCTATGAGTTTGTTTATCTGATGTAAATTTTTTCAAACAGACCAGTATTTATCGAGCTAACACATAATGCCTGCAAGAAAGCATAACTTAAATGCCGTGCGTGAAAATGATGGAATAAAGAAAATTCAAGCAAAGGGCATGAACCTACCACAAATGTTTTGTGGGTTGCATCTGGTATCTACATAAGTTTTGTATTCTAATGCTATCTTGTTTCTTCTGTATGTTTAGTGTCTAACAGACTACTTTTACCATCCCATTGTTAAATGTCTAACAGAATAAAGGAAGACTGAAATGCCATTCACTAGACAGATTACTTATGTAATCCCACTGTTTAGTGTCTAACACAGTAAAGGAAGACATACAGCACACAGAACAAATCTCACATTATTTTTTAGACTTAACATGATAATTATAAAATACATAACAAACCTCACATTTTTAGACTTAGCATGCTAAGTACAGCTCACTTAACATTTTACACTAAGTAAAGCGCACATAAATCTCGTTACTTTTAAACTTAACATTCTAAATATAGAATACACAACAAATCTTGCATTTTTAGATTTAGCATGCTAATTACAGCTCACATAACAAATCACGTTTTTAGGCTTAGTAGAGCACACAAAACAAATCTCATTATTTTTATACTTAGCATGCAAATACAGCTCACACAACAAATTTCATGTTTTTAGACTGAGCATGCTAAATATGACACACAGAACAAATCTCATGTTTTTAGACTTGATGTGTTACATAAAATGTTATATGAAAATCTATTCTTTGTAATTTATGAATGTATGTTGATAAGAAAGAAGCAAGATGATAGAATTAAATTAGTATTACAAACCTGAGGATGAACAAGTGCAAATTGTGTTTATGACACACCTCTGCTCCTACCAATGTTATAGTGTTAAGACACCATCATTTTATGATGTAGTACCTATTCACAAGATTAGGGAAAATTTTCTATGTAAGAGTGACCTTTTGCCCTTCAAAAGTTAATTAGGCCTAGAACTTTACATTCAGTACCTGTTGTACAAGTTCGGTGAAATTTCACTGATCCAATCTTGAGATATTCTTTCCAGAAACAAATAAATACACCCCATTCTGCAATGCTTGCAGTGGGGCATAAGAAGTATATCAAGTACGCAATTCAAAACTGTTTATGAACATATAAAAATACATGTTCTTTGTAACATCTTAACAACTGGTTTATCACTAAAATACACTGAAATTACTATCCAATATTATACATTCTTCAGTATGAAACTACTCACCCTCAGACGAAAGCTCTCAGAACGACCAGTGAAAATGCTGAAATCAATAAACATGACTTATTAACATACCTTATTTTAAAACAGTTCCATTTTTTAATCTGCTGAAACTGTTAGAAGTTATGTTGTGAAAACTAAAAGAGTCAACAGTAAGCACTCAATATGAACTATAAACAAAACATACACTTTCAAATCAGTTATCGTATTGGTGTACAAAATACTCCTAGATGGCTAAAACCACAGTATATGAGGGAACATTGCAATGTAATATAATACACAAACAAAAATGCTCCTATCTGATTATGATCATAGTATTTGAATGGTCATTATGACGTAATATAGTACATAGCAAAAACTCTTCTATGTGGTTAGGATTAGGTATGTGAAGAGACACTAAAATTTCATATAATACATGTGAAATGCTCACGTGTGGCGAGGTTCAAGTTATCTGAAGGGACACTGTAATGTATAATACATACAGAAAAATGCTTATATTGGTTAGGATCACAGTATCCAAAGGGAAATTATGATGTAATACAATGCATGAGGAAAAACACTGGTATGTGGCTAAGATCAGAAATTTAAAGTAGCACTATGATGTAATCCTATATTTCACAGATTTGGAGCAGAAAGGACCAAACTTGACAGGCAGACTTAGGATAGCACAGAGAGTGTCCTTAAATAATAGCATTGCACCCCTACCAAGGAGGGATAAAAATGTACCCAGAAGGTCATCCAGGCATGACTAGGATCGATCAATAGGTTTGCAGGGTTGCTAACTCAAATCTAGCATTGGATTTGGTATTCCTGGGCCTCCCTTGGGATGTTGGGGATGCAAATTTTGAAATTGTGTTCATACCCAAACTTGTAAGCTAGTGGGACCAAACCTGGCACATGTAGTCAAGTACCATGGACAGGTGTCCTAAATTTTTTTTTCAGATACAGACTTCCCCCTTGGGCTAGCTATAGAAAAAAATTGAGGATAATGGGGGAATCTGATCAGTTGACTGGGACTTCTGTGAATCATGAGTAGGCTTTCAAATCCCACAGTATAAAACATAAATACATGTTCTTAGGTATAGTAATACAGTTTCAGAGATAAATCTCACATTCAGAATGACATTAAATCTACATTACCAATGGTTTATAGAATAATAAGGTTTCATTTTGTTCCCCCCTAAATTTAGTAAAAACTTAAAGAATCAAATATAAACTGAAAATTTTTTTGTACTAGTATCTTGTTATGATCCTTGCTTTGCAAGAATTTAGTTTAAGTTAAAAATGCATTAACGTGTTCACAATCTTTCTTCAAATCCTTCATCATGCAGGAGGTGGGGAAGCAACAAAGCTGAGAGCTTTACTCTAAATCATCACCAAGTAAATGTTTGTGTACACAGTACCATTCTATATACAAATGAGTTGGTTAGGAGTACCATGTATAAATGTTATCCTTCTAAATATTAAAGTTTTTAGTCAGGAAGAACTGGAAACTTTTAAATCAGAAATTTCCATATAATACTGCATATAACCATCTAAGAAACCTGTTTTGGATTAAAGTTCCGAAAAAAACAGTTTATCACTTACTGGACAAACAGTATAACATTAACATTATACATTCAACCATCTGTTTTACTTTCAATAAATTTCACTTTACAGTTGAGTTTTCCATCAACAAAACTGGTCGTCACTCAATACAACTGTTTCTTAATGTTATTAAAGTAAAACAGGTGCTGCAAATAAGCTTTCCCATAAGATCAACTAAAAAAAAAAAGAGGAAGAAACTGTGTAAACATACAAGTTCCAGATTTCCTTGTTGACATGTCTACTGTTGCCAGTGCTTTTCTCATCAGTAAAACTGTTAAACCTCACACTATTTATAAAACATACACAAAACATTCCTTTTAAAATTGATTTATCTTGGCCCCTAAACCAATACACCAAAAATTAATTTGGAATGAAAAATGCTTAATGTTACATACATAGAAATATTTTATACTGGTGAATACAAAACTTTCATAACATAAAGACTTCTTCCTTTGAAATAGGAGTGTGTTCACCTGATTTCAAACCTGTGTGTTTACAAAACTGGCCTACCATGACAGAAAGGAGATTCTATTCCTAATTATGCCTAACTAAGAAATTATGTCCAAGATAATAGGCAGATGTGGGATGGGTTATGTGCTATGTTAAGAAACTATGGAGGTGAAATTCTAATTTTACTTATCTAGTTGTATCTTGAAAAAAAAGCATCTCAGATCTCGGGAATAAAGGAAAATCTTAACAAAAAATAGCTTCTGAGTTATTTTAGTTTCTCATAGAACTCAAGAACAATATTTTCAGCTAAAGTTTTCACAATTACAGAATGGGAGCTGAAATACTAGGGTATCATATTTACTTATCACCAGTGTTCCCTCTAAGCTGTGCTGCACGAGCACACAATAAACAATCAAGCACCACACACTTCATTATTCCAGCCGCGTACATTCTCATTAATGGTGAGGAGTCTCAACATGTTGTTGGCTTTTATGACCCTGGCAGCATTGCAAAGTGGCCTAATGATCCAATAGGGTTGATGGTCTACAAAACCTCCTCCCCTAAAAAGAAAACTGGTAATGCCCATCTGCACATTGCCTTGATACTGGTGCATATGAACAAATTCATTCTGCTCATGGACTGAAAAAATTAGAGGGAACATTGCTTATCATCCAAAGGTTTAACTTTACTAATTTTTTTACCCTATATAATTGAAAGCAACCACATTCCCAAAACTGACTGCACTTTTAAATCAAGTCAAAATGTGGCTCATTGTTAGCTGGAACATCCACATCTACTCCTTACTTCAAATTTGAATTTAAGAAAATAAGGCTTGATCATACCCGAAACTGAGTGGGTTCTTCTTATGCATATACCTCTCCCATATTTCACTTTCCACTCTATACAACTGTGTTAGCTTTATCTAACTGTCCTGTATGCAATATTCATTTTCGTTTAGCTTGATTATTTAATTGAAAAGTAAATGAATAGAACAAAGCCATTATTCTGTTTGCTCTATTTTATCTGATGTTGAAACGAATATAACTGTTTTGATTTTTATCTTAGAAAATTTACCTTGTGCAAATACAACATTATGCTTTATGTTACTATATTTTAATACCAAATTCAATGTTCACTGCTTATATACTTAAAGAAAAAATGTATTTACTGCAATATAAATATCAGCACTCAGTTGTACAGAATACAAAACGAATTGAAGTAGAACATACATTTACACAACACACACACTTTTAATTCTTACATTCTAACATAAACTCAAACTCTCCTTGACAAGTATTAGAAAAAAGTCAGAAAATGAATCAATATATATATATTTTTTTTGTACACTAGTCTACTCACTGTAAACTATAGAACAGTTTGACATTTTCAACACTTTTCAAACTATACACTTAGGGACTGCATATAGTATTTACTTATGAATTTTAACAGTAAACACTGCAGTATCATTGTTTAGTTCAAGATTTTCAGTTCTACAAAAAACAATCACACATGGTAAGGTGTACACATAGTAAGTAACATCTATTAATAACAACTACAGTATCAATTTGGTGTTTCCTTTGGGTGGTAACTACAAAAACAGAATGAAAGTTGGGATACCTAGACTACTGCCACCTTGTGACTGGAAATAGCATTAACTATTTCAGCATGGGCTCGGTCCTTGGGACCGACCTCATAACCAATGTTTCCTTTTATAGTTTTCATGCTATAACTTATCAATTAGTAGGTGAATGTTAACGAAATTTGGCACTTTATCAGTAAACATTACAATGCTTTCATATGCAAAATATAAATTTCTTTATCAAGTTTTAATGTTTGTAAAGCAATGTTTTTCTCATGACTTTTTTTTTCTTTTCGCATATTGCCTATCTAACATGCAAAGTAATTTTCATTTTAAGATTAAAAATATTTTTATTTATATATATAT